CCGTCGCCCGATTATCGCTTGCTGAGCCGCAGTTTAATTTTCACTGTTGGCCAACATTTACGATAACCCAATTCCTAAATGTCTACCGACCGACTTAATAAACTGCCTTCCGATGGTTGGACTATGCTCAAAGGTTGGTCGACGGACTATTCAACGACTGCTTCAATGAAGAAATCGACCACCGACGAAGAAAAAAAATATAACTTGGCTGGACGGACACAAAATTGGTCGCCGACGAAAAAAGAGGTCAAAATGGGGCAAGACAACGCCTGATGAACTGCCGAAATAAGTGACATTCTTCATGTGGTCAACTTAAGTGGAATAAGCGGCATTCTTCATATGGTTGGCTTATACTGAATGAGCAGCATTCTTCATATGGTTAATTTTATAGAATGTGCAGCATTTTGCATCTGGTTATATACTCCAGATTAAGTGATATTTTGCATATGGTTAACCTATATGGAATGAATGATATTTTTTAACAGATTATGAAATTATCATGGTTTAAGATGTTCTACATTCTTTTATTTTGAAGTATTTCATATATAATGGAGTATAGATTCAACTTTTGCTTGTAAAATGAGTTTTGAAGTGAAAAGAAAGTGAAGAGTGATCGATCTCATAAAATCTACAAACAATTCAAATATGTGACAGGAAAATCACGGACCCCCGGAAATTCTAGAGGTGGGATCAGGTGCCTAGGAGGAGTAAGTATCCCTTGTTGACCTGTCACACCTGCCAAGAGCCCTATGTATTGATCAGGTAGACGGAACATCCCGTTTAGTATAAAAATAAAGGCGTAACAATTGGTATGAAACACATCAGCCAAAGCACGACCCAGCGATAGGTTATATTTTTTAACAAGGTCATTATAACGACCATAGAATTTACGAAATGTTGACTTTAAACGAGGTTGTTGAAGTTGAATCATTAACTTATCTATCAGTAGCTTGCTTCGGCTTACAAATTGATCGTACTCAGAGCATGCTCTTGAGTATCGAATAAGTCGTGAGACGTAAACACCATACGCAGGTGACAGTGGAATATTACCAGATAATTAAGGTAATTTCACGATGGAAAAGCTGAATTCATCTCGTTTATCGTACAATTCAGTTGTTAGTTGGCTCTTATCGTCTATAGTCAGTCAAACTTCCAAATACAAATCCAAATACGAAACAGATTTTGCAGACTCATTGGTGTCTTTTATTTCAAGTTCATTGCAGGGGATATGTCGAGTCGACACAGGGTTCTTCATCATTTCAAGTTTAACTGTGGCCCAAGACTTAAGCGAAGTGCTAATATTTGCGGTATCTTCGAGACCGAATTGGCGACGTAACCAGATTAAAAAAAATAAAGATAGCTCTTCTTAATCATTAGTTTAGATCACAAATTAAATATTTTGCAAATTGAAAAATAAACTCAATGATTATTTAAAAACACAATTGATATCGAGTTTAATGTAGGGTAAAACAAAAATTAAAATATTTCTAATACATCAGTTTACACCCCCTCCCAACACATACAAACACACAACAAACCAACTTACAAACGTAGTTTTAAATAAAGAAATATTAGCTAATAGAATCTGAAAATAACGGTACCAGTAAGTAGTAACACGTTTTAAGCGTAGTCATGGACATCAATCATACAACAGACCACACTTGATGTCTCTTTTAATTCATTTTTGCCTTACGTCTGTCCATCACATTCGTACTAAACTTTACTCGGTTCACTTGAAAATTTTGAATGGATATTTATTCGCGAAAACTTTAATTTTGCGTAATTACGCGAGGCTGTATGCCAGCAGAAATTTAATTCTCGCGTATATTTTTATTATAAAAGATTATATAAATTAAAAAGGTCTAAATTCGTGAAAATTTTGTCTCGCTTATAAATATCAAATGACTATCTTGCAATAATAAAGTGTTGCAAAAAATTGGTGATCTACCAGTATTTGAAGATGCTAAAGCAAGTCTATACTTGGATTCTTCAACTGCAGAATACAAGCTAGTGTTTATGATTATGGATGTTTCCCAGCACAGACTCTTTAAGCCACCACAAATAATTCTGACCCAACCCGTCGGTTCCTTCAACTTTAATTTGCAAGAAAAGGAATAGATGCTGTGAATAAGTAATAATAAAAAAGTTCAGTCTTCCACCATATTTCAAGTGGAAGTCTACACCCTGAATTTCCTATAGGTATTCCAAAACTTTTTTCCAAACCTTCAATTATAAACAAACCTTACAGTGCCTAGATATTTAAACTATTAAACAAAACCCTCTTTAGTGTTATTGCTCTTCTATTCTTTCAACTACAGTCCCGCTGGACACGTCGTTACTGGTGATATCAATATAGTTGAAAATGAAGATCCAAAAGCAATCATCTTAAAAGGTCCTAAAACAGGGAGTCCCGATCCTTCAATTTGCGACAGAACGTTATTTCTTTTATGAATTCTGTAGAAGATTATGCCAGACTGTCAGAATGGATTAAGTATTTTAGAAATATAATAAAGAATTGGATTAGAAAGTAAAAAGGCAATATGCGAACCATCTATCCTTCTGTTTTTATTAAATTGGAGGTAATAAAAGAAACAGAAAGACTACAGGAACAATATGTTATGGTTCCAGCAGACAAGGCTCATGTCATTAGCGTCTTTGTTTGTAAGCTTTTATTATAATTGTATTTTAGAAGAACTTGGTTTTAATCAACGTCTGGAAATCCAACCTATACTCACAGTTCACATTCTGAGGATGAGAATTCTTCAAAATTACATTTCATTATTTAATACTTTTAACATTCCAGTCAACCAGATGAGTTCGAGCTGCCCTACCTATACTGAATTCCTAACTTCATTAAAAAAAAGATACAAAACCGGGTTCAGTAAATGCTCTACCAAGCCCCTTTCAAGCTCCTTACAAAAATATTAACTACTGTGAAGAAGAAACTCCAGGCCTTAAAATGATGCAGCATACTCCGGAATTCTAGAAATGGTGTTACCCAGATGTGGATTCTAAAAAAAAAAATCCAAAGAACTTTTAAAAATATAATATTACCAATTTTTTCAAAAGTCAATAACATCGAAACGTACGAATTTTCTAAACTTAATACAATAAATTCCTCAAAATAAATTCAAGACAAGGCTTTTTGGTATCATAGATAACTTCTTCAATAGAAATGAACTCGGAAAATTCGTATCCTGTAATTGGTCATAAACAAAATTACTTTGACAAAAAATCACTGATTCTACAGACAGTACTCAAAAATTGATATTGAAAGGATGATGGAGTTCCTCATTTACAAAATTTATGTAGTCTCCGGAGACCAGGTATTCCAACAAAGGGCGTTAATTGTGCTCCTTTATTAGCGGACCTATTTTTATATTCCTTCGAAGCAGAATTTATTTATAAATTTCTAAATGAGAAGAAGAAAACTCTTGCTTTGGCCTTCAACTCGACCATCAGATATATCGACTACGTTTTATCAGTTAAAAATAGTTCTTACCATTCATATGTCGGCTCGACATATCCCAGGGAACTTGAAATAGAAGACACCACAAAGTCTGCAACATCTGTTTCATATTTGGATGTTTTTCGGACTATAAACGGAAAGGGCCAACCAACAACTGAATTGCATAACAAACGAGATGACGTCACTTTTCCATCGTCAGATTTCCTTATTTATGTACATGTAGTAATATTCCGCTATCATCTGCATACGGTTTTTACGTCTCCCGATTTGTTCGATACTCAGGAGCAAGTTCTGAGTACGATCAATTAAAAAAAACCAGGCAGGCTACTAACAGATAAGTTGATTTTAAAGGGATTTCGACAACCTCGTTTAAAGTAAGCATTTCGTGAATTTTATGGTCGTTATGATAACCTTGTTCGCCAATATTACCTATCACTTGGTCATATTTCGGCTGTCGTGTATCATACCAATTGTTAGGCCTTTGTTTTTATACTTAATTTGTCTAAGGAATGTTCTTTCTTCCTGAACAATACATAGGGTTCATTGGGGTGTGACGGTCTACAGGTGCTGCTTACTCTTCGTGGCCACCTGATCCTACCTCTAGAGTTCCAGGGGTCCGTGTTTTTATGCCCTGTTCACAGATTTGTATTGTTTGCAGATTTTTTTTAGATCGATCATTGTTCGTTATCTTCATCTTTTTCATTTAAACACTATACGTCCAATCATCTTTGGGTTTTAAACACTAAAGTTTTGAGTCAGAAACACATTGATGATAATTATGTATCTGAGGGCCATGTTATCAGCTTCTGCAATGCATAGCATGATACAAACTTAAGTTTATTGATGATACTGGTCAGAATAATGCTGTTCAGAGAAGTCAATTTTAAACAAGATATTTATTAAGTACAGAACATAATTATTAAAGCTTAAGCTAATATTATTATATTATCTGCATTATAATGGAAATATGATAAAAAATTTTAAAAAATATATAAATGCTACTCAATAATCAGAACCTGGCGATTAAAGAATAATAGAATCATTCATTACTACGAGTGTGGGATAGTGAAATTCCACCAAGGGGACAAGATTCACGGTCTAGGACGAGGCTTTGCCGAGTCCTAGACCGTGAATCTTGGCCCCGAGGTGGAATTTCACTATTCCCACACGAGTGAGTAATGAATGATTATTTTTCTCGCATTATTTTATCCAAAATAACGGCCTGTCAATGACATCGCCATGATAGGGCTAAAAATATATTCTTTTAATTTTCCATCTAATTAAAATTCTAAATACACCATCAGAGAGAGCGTACCTGAAAATGGTTTACACATAGTGTAAACTGATAAAATGAATTTCAGTCCATGTAAATTAATTAGATAGATAAAAACTGGGAATAAAAAACTTATCCATCCGATAGCGTACACATTCATTCAAGAAGAATCCTTCCGCGATCTAAAAATAGTGCCATTTAAAAAGTGAAAATACGACAATATTTTGAATGAAAATAAGTTTATCTTAATAAGTTAAATGACAACATTTTAAGTATATGTAATATTTTTTAACATTGTTACAATTTCTTTATATAAAGACGGAATGTTTACGTTATCGTTCGCGGCGTAGTAATACACAGTGTAAGACAGAAAAATCTCACACTGCTGTCTCACACCGGACAAGTCAATCTTACACCGGTGATTATGCGAGAAAAACAAATATCTTTATATTATACTAACCATACAAAGATGAACTTTCTGTCCATTTTCATCAAATCATTTCAATGGGAAAACAATTTTAACATACATCTTAGTTTGTGTCTAAAGAGTAACTCAATGAGGTTGAGGTCTGTTGTATTTGTCTATCTCAGTAGGATGTATTGAATTTAAATTCAGCATTAATGAATATGTTTCATGATTTGACACTTATCAACAAATACTCAACATACGTCACACATCAATGAAAATATATCATAGTCCGATACTTATACTTGGAGTGATATCGGTTAGGAAATATTTGTCCTTTATATAAGCAATTCAATACATGGATAAAAATCATTTTGAACGCTGAAAAATTTTTCTCTATTCATTCGACATTTATAGGATTTATACTATTTACAAATCTTCTCATCACGTGCCCAGTCTATCATCGTTACATGAGTCAAACTTACAGTTATAAGAAACATGACACCTCAGAATCTCTCAGTCTTATCCATCGAACATTATGTAATCAGTTTTATCTGGAACACGTTTACAACCGGTAATTAAATACCTGTTCCAGCTTTCTGGGAAAAAGTTGAGTTCACTAATGATTTTTTGTACTATTCCCTCTGGAACACTGTCCCTTTTATAATAATTTTTGGTTACCAGGTAATCTTTAATACACCCCTCGACATGCTTTCTTTCTAGCGGAAGAAACGGGACATAGGCCGTGATCAGGTGCTTGATTATAACGTCGCTAAGGTACATGCCACCTATAATAGTATGAAGACAGATGGTTTTCAGATCAGATTTAGAACGAGGTATAATCCAAGAGTCATGCCACAACTGCAATAAAATCTTAGTTGATCGAATGTTATCAAAATTTTATGTACTTCTTCCTCTATCTATTTTGATTTTTGCCATTAAATTTCATTCAGTTATATAATGTACTTTTTAAAATATTAAGATATAAACGCAACGTTAGATTTTGTCTTTTGCCGCACGACAAGAATGTTACCGACGTCGTTATGACATTACTTTTCGTCACTTATTTTCTGTTCATCCGCATATCAAACCTCTCACATGCTTCTTTTCAATAATCTTTTCTGCCATTTTGCCATAAAGCGTCTTGTTTTGAGTTATTGTATTAAAATTATTAGAACTTTATCCAAATTTTATTTCTATTTTATTCCTTTTTGCGTAGATCTTTGTTGCAGATAAACTGAAATTGACTGTCGAAGAGAAATGTCATAACGACGTCGGTACATTCTTGCCATGCAACGATAGACATTGTGTTTATCTTAATATTTTAAAAAGTTCATTTTATAACTGAAAGAAATTTCAAGGCAAGAAATCAAAATAGAACTTTCGACTATCTAGCAGTCGTCAGTTTTGTCTATGGGCTTGACATTGCTCTTCCATCTCATTCACCGTGTGTCAGTCAACAGCAAGAGAAGTTTGTGAGGTCTTCACACTCACTTCACTTCATGATCATCCACCTGTTAGACCGACAGTCCCTGTAGGGCTCACACGGGAGCCTACTTCTTTAGAGATCCACCTTAGACTTGCAGACGGGAATGATGTGCAACCTCAGACGTCACCGCATACTACATCTTGCCCAGTTTTTGTGCATATTGGGGGTGAACATGCCCAACCCCCACTGCTTGCTCACATCAAACCTTTGTTGTTCCAAAGTGGGTGTGCATCTGCCAAACGTCCCGGTATGGCTATGCCTTGTGTATTTCAGCATCCTGATGTACATCGACACGTAGTCCCGCCTCTCTCAGAACCCCAACATACCATTTTGGAAGGGAGCAGAAGAGGATTGCACATGTGCATGTCAAATATGTATGGGCCAGCCCAGCTGGGACGCTATGCTAGTCAGGCAGTTCTGGCCTACCAAGCTGTCAACTTCAGCACAACTACACATTATAGCTCACCTGGTTTCCAAGGCACTACACAGTACACTAGCAGGGTAGTAGCTGGGAGGAAGCCAAAGTACGAGGATCTCCGGCGTGATGGAAAGTCAAGCTAGAATGCATTCCTGCACAAGTTCGTGAGGTTGTCTCGAAGCCAGTAGTGGACTGAGGAGGAGCAGCATGACCAATTTTGATTCTCCTTTGAAGGGGCAGCAATATCCGATGGTTAAAAAAAGCATCATCTCCGCCTAGAAAATATTTTGCAGAGGTTTCAAAAGCAGTTTGGTTCCTCTGCATCAGACACCACCCAACATCTGAATTACCAGCAAGAACCCTGCAACTGTGGAGTCACTTTGTCAGTGGGCTGGCAGGTGTTGACCTTTGCTACTCGAGCTTTTCTTAATGTGTCTGATGTGCACACGCATGCCATACCACGCCTATATTCTGGGGCCGAGGACCGAGAAACCTGCTTGTATACTCTTGACGGCCGTCTCCTGACTGTGGAGAAAGCTGTAAAGCGGGTGTCTCGTGACGTGACAGGCAAAGAGCCATAAGGGAGATGGGAGAGTTGGCTACTGGTGAGGATGAAAGATGGGATCTTGAGACCGAAAATGCAGCTTGGGAGGAGCTTGAAGCCTCCGGGAGCAGGTTGAAGAGGTTGGAGCATGACTTACAGCAGAGGGAAGCTGTCCCCCTTCGAAAACTTCAAAGGTCTCGTACCCCAGCATCCAGATGAACGAAAACCTATTGTGTGATGAAGATGCGGAGAGGTGGGGTCTTTTCGTAGCGACTGCTCCATCAAAGCTACCGGGAAGACAGTAATTACTGATTGGCCCCGGGACAGGTCCAAGTTCAAAGGATCCGCTGGTGATAGGTTTCGGAGGTCGGATTCCAAGCCGAGAGGAATAAGGACTGGTAGGCTGGATTCCAGGAGGACACGCTCAGGCCATGCTGGTCATGAGCCCAGAGCATTACCCTGAGATCACTGAGTCTAAGGAGCAGGTGGCTAGTTTTCCCCCATTTTGTATATGGCATAGGTGCAAGGGGCACAGGTTAAGCATGATTCCCGCACCAGAGCTTTACTTGGCTGAAGATGAAGTGGTTACCATGGAGGAAGACGTGGGGAAGCTTGTGGACCCCACTCTACTCTGGAGTCATTTGGAAAAAGCAAGGGTTAGTGAATTGGAATCCAAGGACTTACGGAGGATGAGCCTACGTGATTTTGATTTCATGTCACCTGTGTCGAAGTGGGAGGAGCTCCTTATACCCACTAGGGACTTTACAAGCCTGCAAGTGCAAGGCATGGGGATGAAGGCATTTCTGGATACTGGGGTTAATGTCAGCGTGCTGTCGACCCAGCTGTATGACCCTAGCAACCTATCAGGATACAAGTCACCATGATACAGGACGGAATAAAAACCAAATTAGAGGTATTTATAGTGGGACTTGTCACGCTGCGTATTTGACAGCAAAAGCATGAAATGGAACTCTATGTTGCCCCTTTGCAGGACCCAATATTGCTGGACATAGAGTTTTTCCGTGCCTGGAAAGTCCAGCTTGACTTGGAACATGGAACCCTTAACTCTGAGAGATAGGGTCATAAAGATGGAATTTAGGAGGTCTGTGATTTAACAGGAGACACAGCAGTCGAGACAGATCTGTATAAATATGTGTCCCGCTTGGTAAGGGAAATGAGCAGTCTAGGGTCGTTGGTCCCAGAAGTCAGACGTGTAGGCCCTGCCCAGATGTAGAGGTGGTAGAGGAATGTCTTCTGGAATCTGTCATTGAAGATATCGGTGTTGTACCCTTATCACTAAGACCAGCCCAACCTTCTGCTAGTGAGGACGCCTATGATCATGTTTCTTTGAGATTGCATATACATTGTATATACATGTACTAAATAAATACTTGTGAAGAACCTGAAAGACTTTAGACAGAGAATTTGTTTAAAAAAAGAAAAGGAAAACAAAAGAAATGCAGACACCGGGTGACAAAGCTTCCCTGGCTTGGGTAAAGTTAACAGTAATTTTCACTTACTTGAGTTGGTATTAACAGTGGCCTTTCTGATTATTTGTTCCATTTCCTTCAGTTTAATACTTTCTCTGAAATTCCAGTGTTTTAAGGTATGATCAAATATATCTTTTCCCGCCGTGTTACTGAAAAATATCACAATTAAGGTTCATCAACTCACTGTTTTACTCATTTAAGTTTTGCTTCAATGGTTATGATTTTCCAATAGAAATACATATTATAATTAAAATGCAAACCATTTCAGCATTCCGTGTGGAGAAAAATTGAACAGAATAAAATATACAATTTTTTCATGTTAATAATAGTTTTCCATTCCAGTGAGAGTCATCTCTCCTACCAGAGTTTCAATGAACCTTAAAAATCATTATCAAAACACATTGCCTGTATATGATTTTATAAATTTAATATCATGCAATGTCTCTTAAGTGTACTTTTCAACAGCGAATTTGTAATTATTTTTTAATAAATTTTTTATGGGATTTTTTTTCCCTTTTTGGCATGAGTAGGTAAATCTTTACCTTGCAATGCTTATAACAGAAAAGTACAATGTAAAATTCAAAATATATTCCGTATCTCAAATATTCAAAGCAAATATATCAAATTTATAGACTGCAAGTCCCAATTACAAGGAATTGGTCACAATGCATTTTTAAACAAACCTAGCTTCCTTAAATGCCTGGCATTTGCTTCATTAAACAAAAAACAACCTTGTTTTTGTTCACCCCAAATTGTTGAATTATTTTTGACCCAGCATTATCTAAATGAAACTCTTGCAAGGAAGAATTTCATGCTTAAAACTGATCTCGACTCGTAAATAGGCATACGCCATTTTCGATTTACTATCTACGCATCAGCACCGGGGTATACTCTTCGCATTCGTTACACCTGACTGTTTTATTGTCACGGGTATCGACGTGGAATGGCGACCCGTGTTCGTGCCGGTTATCTTGTATTACCTTTGTTTACATTTTATTGCAGTTACGTGTATTTACAAGTGTTTGTTTGTATACTGCAGTGACCTGCGCAACTATTGTAAGTTTCTTTGGTATCTTTCTCTCCTGCATTAGAATAGGTACTTAGTTATATTTTGTCGCTACCGAGTGCTGTATAGCATACATCCTTCTACGCCGGTGACGATTGATTAAACTGAACAGTGACCAAGTCAGCGGCTTTATATAGGGACCCTAAGATATAGCGAGAGTCCAATCGAATATGGCGGACACCTTCCTTTTACGAATCATGTTCAGCTTTAACACCCCTTGCATGATATAGCTCAATGCTTGCACTCCCATCATTACTAACCTTAAAAACAGGAAGATGGCCTTTCTGTAGTCAGTGCCCGTTAGATGCTCGTGGAAATCCAGGTAAGGTGTCAAAGCGTCAATCACTCCAGGTGGCATTTTGTCAATTTCATCGAAAATAAAGAAAGACAACTCACATTCTTTTACACTGCTTTCAACCAATTCCCTCAATTTCTCCTAAAAATCGAAACGACCAGTACAATGTAGCATAAATGTACATGCTATATATATCAATATATTTTTGTTTCTTCATCTAATTTTATCTTAATAAGGATCACGGTTCCCCCCTTAAACGTGATGATAAAGCATGACTTGGGAGGAAGTCTTCGTTGTAGAAATCCTTTCCTGATTTTTCCGGTCCTTTTAAACCATTCAACCCAACAGCAATAACAAAATGCATATTAGAAATCTAAATATGGTGTAAGCATTCCCATTTTTTGTTTTATAATTACCTTGTAAAGAGGCACCATATCAGCATGTGTGAAGTCTTTATTTGCAGATATGAAATGGACGTACTTGCTCCTCATTCCCTCTCGAAATAGACCCTCGGCGATAATTTTGCTGACATGGTTCTTTCCTGTGCCAGTCGCTCCATGAAATGACAGTGCAAGTGCTCTTGTTGGATTTGTTATCATGTGTGCTTGCAGGTGCTTCATAACGACATCAATGACTAAATGCTGCCCAAAGACTCTTGCTTGAAGGTCATTGCGGAGAGCTGTAATATTTCAGCATAAAAGTCAACTTACTTAAAGTCTGTTCTACAGTCAAAAGGAGATTACCTTTTGCATTATATCTCAAAATACGTAAATACCAGGGCTTTCAAACTACATGTAGGTTCGATCAATATTTCTTCTCAAACTTTCTGCTTTGGTGGGAACTGTCGAGTTGTATAATGCATAACTTGCAAAATCACACTTTGCAAAAAGTAAAATGAGCTCTATCACTTTGCGGGGTCATCCGAAAAGTAATCTGAGCTCTATTCGTTTGTGGGTAACCGGAAAGGGAAAAGGGAAAGAAACCATGAGTTTCTTTTTTATGGCTCCAAACAATTTTGTGTGTCTTTATAAATTTCAATGTATGAATAGCCCCATTACGAAAATTGCCGTTTCTTCGGTAAGGGATCTATCATTATTTGTAAATTTCTGTTGCTAACCGTCTACAACGTTATTACACGTTTGGAATCAATTTTCATGGCCGTAGAAATCAAAGATGGAGGGGTGTGCCCTTAATTATTTCGTCCATATATAGTATACAATAGAAAAGAAAGCTAATTTATGTATGTGACACCTCAATAATTACGTCTGGTGACTTTTTTTATACTTTGCTTGCCGGGGAATTTTGCTTGTAATGCCCATCCAAATTAGATATGTTTGGTTGTGCTCCACCCTCCCCATCCTACTAAAATTGCTTCTACGGGCCTGAATATTTACGTCATACTCGGATAATCTTTGGAAATAACGCTTGTCTGCAACGCCAAATTACCGTAGACTTTGAAAAACTGTGTCATACGTTGTCTTGAATTGTATGTATCCAATCTGGCTAAAAACAAGTTTGGAAATGAATGTTAAAATGTTAAATGATTTTTCCTTTAAAATGAATTTGGTATTCATTTGATATCGTTAAAAGTGTGATAGAATCGCTCACATTGGGCAGACTTTAAAAAAGAAAAGACAGCAAAACAGTTGTGTATTCATAGTATCTAAAACACGACACACCAATCATGGGTGAATCAAAGAAATATTGACCATTTAATCGAAAATTTACGGAAAAATTCAATTTGCCTTAACATTTTTCAGTTATAAAACATAATACATACATATTGTATACACATTCTACCGAGTAGTTAAAATTTTCAAAGAGGCGGTAAAATAAACAAATGAATTTTATTCGAAAAAATGAAAATATGCATACATCTTTTAAGATATTCTTAAATGCATAATTAAATGATTTTCCTTTTAGATGTGTGTCATAAATCTAAACCTTGATTTAGTTCTTTAGTTCCCTAGCCATTATTTACACACTGAATTGTCGACGTTTTTTTCCCGTTATTTCCCGATCCCGATCATGACAAGGAGCCACTGCGGGTGTGACCTGTCGACAGGGGATGCCAACTCCTCTATGGCACCTGATCCCACCTTTTATGTTTTACAGGTCCGTGTTAGCTCTGCTCCAAAATTTGTATTGTTTAATGGACTTTTGAGCTTGAATACTGTTCGATATCTCCATACATTTAATTCCTTCTTGTGAAAGAATTGGCATTTATTGTTGATATTTTGCATTGTTTAACTCAATTCTGGTTTGAAAAATATGAAAAATGTGATATAATAAATTTCCCCAAAACTGGAAATTAAAACAAAAAGGGATTTAGATATACTAATTTTTGAAGTTATCTTATCCTACCTTATTTTGTTACACTCCTGACTTCTGATATGATCGGGCAAACGGAAAATCCGTAGACAATTCAGTATGAAAATAATGGTCTAACTATTTGTATGAAAATCAGTCAACGTTCGACTTAACGATAGGTCGTATCTACCAACAAGGTTATTGTGTCGACCATAGAATTTGGGAAATGTTGACTGTTGATATCCATGTTTCATCAACTTATTTGTCAATAGTTTGCCTCGTTTTAGAACTTATTCGTACATAGAACATGGTCTTACGTATAGAATCAACTGGGAGATATAAACTCCATATATACAGGTGATAATGTTTCATGTATATTGCTACATAAAAAAGGGAAGTTGACGATAGAAAAGTTGAAGTCATCACGTTTATCACAAAGTTAAGTTGTTTTTGCCATTAATGTCTTTCTCCAGTAAATATACAATCATGATACAGATATGTGAAGCTCTGTGTTGTGTTTTATTTCCAGTTCAAAGGGATATAACGAACCAACGTAGGGATGAAAATGAATATTGTTTATTTACAAAACGTGGTCGATATGTTGAAATGACGAATTGACGGACACCAAATAGCCACAACGTTTTCCTTGAAAAAAAAAAATTGCTGATAACCATTGACAAGGTATGTAAATTCCAGGTCCATTATTATTGAAAAACAGTTGTCTTAGATGTCAAAAAGATTGGTCTTTAAATTATCGTGGGGAATAATTGTATAAAGTGTTGAAAAGTCGTACGTTTTGATGCTATTGAATTTGGTAAAAAAAATTATTTCAAATTTTCTGAAAGTTCCCTGGAGTTTTTTAAATATCCACATCTGATTAATACTACTCGAATATGTTGTTGTACGGTACTTCTGTAGTTTCTCAAAAACAAGTCCAAACAAAAACCTGGTTCCCTGAACTCCTCTTAAATGTTTTGCATTAACCAACTCATTTTTGGAATATGATTGGGAGTGTCCTGTAGATGTGCAATAAGGTTTCAAAATTTTGATTTTCACTAGGATTGTGGTTTAAATTGTAGGGTTTTTCAAACCCTGGTTCTGGAATTTCGATTGGGGGTCAAAGCATCGTTTTTCTACAAACACCTGGTTCCCTTAACTCCTTTAATAATTTTGTATTTTGTCAATAGTCTATTCATAATTTAGAATATGATTGGGAATGTTTTGAATTTTGATTTTTACCCTGGGGTTTAAAAACTTTTGTTTTTGTTTTTTAAACTGTTTTAAAGGAGTTCCCTGAACTCCTCTTAAATGTTTTGCACTAGCCAACTCATCATTTTAGGGAGAGGGCGTAATAATATTCAGAACTTGTACCCAATCCCTTTGTAATTATAAATTACAATAAAATAAATATGTTCAAATCAACCAACTCATCTTTTGGAATATAAATATATTGGGTGGGGAGGGGGGAGGTTAAAAATGGCTCTTTTGTAAATTATAAAATTATTATGGCTTCTTCCCTTGTTACCAAAATATGAAGGTGAGTACATTTAGAGGCAAACACCTTAGTGCGGGTATTACTGTCTTATAACAGAATATAGTTCAAATTCAATTTAATTGTTGTAAATAATTTAAAACTGACATATAACTGTGAAGGCACTATGAATATAAGCTGGATTACCACTTGCAAAATTAAATCCTATTTCTTCAAAATATACAATTATAATAACGAACCTTGTTGTTATACCTGCTTTATCAGCAGGGACCAGTTTATATCGATCGTGTAATCTATCTAGTAATTCTTTTCTTCACTTCTGAATTATTGAAGACAGCTGGATAGATGGTTTTCATAATATCCCTGAACCGTTTAATGCGAGATTTCAACATTCATCTGATCTGATGCTTTTAATCCATTCTGGCTATATTTTAAAATAAGTAATTTTAGGTCCTCATTATAAACTATATTCACGTCACCAGTAATGACGTGTCCAGCAGGACTATAGTTATAGGATGAAGAAGAACACGAACTTTCGATATCTAGACACTGTTGAGATTTCCTTTTTGTTTTTGTTAATAAAAAGTTTGAAAGAAATAGTCTATGAATATTTGTAAGAATTACACGACTTGGACTTTAACTTGAAATATGGAGGAATTCAAGATTGGGCGCCCTTTTGTACGAAATTCGAAATACGAGATGCAATATGTCTCCAATGAAAATGAATTCGGGTTTAGTTGCTTCATGCTTGGGCCCCTACATAATAACGTCTGATGACCTTTTCTTGGCTTGTCAAGGATTTCTTGCTTGGTAGGTGAAAATGTGTGGTTACTAACCCCCCCCCCCCTTTCAAAACTTAAACTGCTTCTTCGGGCCTAAAAAAAATCATTATCTTTATTAAGTATGTATGTTTCAGCTACCCGTACTCAAGGGGCTGTCATCTGGCTTCACAAACCTGGTCACTGGCCACTTTGTAACTCTTGTTACTAAGACTATCAACGTCGTAACCCTTATCACTATAAGTCGCTAGACACTAAATATACTGCAGGCTAATGGTTCACATTTGGCACACATCATCAACTACAGTAGGACCAATATTTGTCTCTTAGCAAAAAACTTTCAAAGAATCCGACTAACAAGATTCCTACTGACCTGAAAACAGATAATGTGTGGCCGCTTTGCGATATAGATATTCTTTATATAAATCTATTATATCATTTAACAGGTTGGAATTAGAATTTCAGGATATTTTACATAATAAACCCAACATTTACTTTTTTCGTTTTTATACACATAACATTTTTTCTTGCATTATTATTTAATCAAATGATACGTTAATTACAAATATAATGTAATCTTAAATCCGACTTCTGATTGGATATTAAGATATTGAATCTCTAAATTCGAATTTCAAATCTCGAATGAGCCTTCTTGGCTTTCGTACTTTTGTGATTATATTCCATTATTGGCAAATTTAAGCTTAAACTCGTCCGTAAAACATGGCCTTTAAAAAGCCTGCCGTAATCAATACATATTCATAATCACAGATCCCAGCCTGTATCCTGGTATCGAAAAATCCAAATATGCATTTTCTTTGGCCTTTTCAAATGGACCATTTAAAACTTTCAAGGCTAAGAGTAAAGTTTGGTGCAGGTGTGATGAAGATCAGTTTATTTACATAAGGTAGTAGTGAATCAAAAGAGGCATCGTGTATAAAAGGTTTAATTGTAAGACTGATGTCCATGACTATGCTTACGTCTCTGGATCTTGTTAAAGATCCCATCATAGTCACATTCCTACACTGTGGACTTGAAAGATTCCCAACACTTTCGAAAAATTATTGAAAAAAATAGTATGATCAGGTAAATTTGAATGGAATGCTTGTGGAGAAGCTGCTGGTCCCCGTT